CACCCACACACCCACACCCCACCCTCGTTAGTATTTTGATTTTTGTATAGGAAAAACTATCAAATCGAGCTGAAAATTTTAGAAAATACTAAACTCACTACTCTCTGTAATATATTTAAAAAATCAGCGAATTCTGAAGTGTCACTCCATCACTAATGTCAGAGTCTCTGAGAACTTAGTATTTTGCCATAGTTGAAAGACCTTCTTCAAAATGTATTCACAACATCGTATTTCATTCTAGTTTTTCGACTAAAATAACGAAAATGCAATAGAAAAAATCGGATTGTAATGCTTCCTTTAAGTATTCGTTTTTGACAGCACTAAGACTGTGTCTTTCGTTTATCATAATATGTGTGATTCAAGAAACAAGGTCTAAAATCAGATTCTCTTCCAGAACCATAATGAAATATGTTGAGTCGAGCGTGTGCAACATATTGATTCTTCTCTTTTACATGCTGTCCATTCAAAAAAAAATGTGCGAAATGCCCAATAGTGAAAGACCTTCACTCTCACATCCTTTTGCTGATTTGCACCGATGCCGTCGCTTTAAATCCACAAAAATTATATTTTTCATAGAATGGGATAGGCACTTTAGAAGTAATAAGGGCAAGATTGAGTTTTCATTTATTAAAGCATTAGAATGTGGGCCTTTCGGTTTTAAAGCAATATGGCTTAAAATACCATCTGCGTGTTTGATGTAAAAAACGAGACACCTTGACGATACTGCCTCATTTCAACACAAGCTATGATCAGAACTGTAATCTGTTATTTCGTTTTCATTCTTCTCAAGTAAATGCTATTGATTTTTATTTTTATTCTTCTAATATTTATCGGTTTTGTATTTTAGCATTACAGGTTCGTTTTTTGTTCCATTTTACATGTTTAGTAATTAATTTGTTTTTTTGGATGATCGTTGAGATTCTTGTGAAACTCTTTTTTTTCATTTTTGCTTTTTTCGCCTCTGCCTTTTCTTTTAATTCCTGTAAAAGATTTCCATTGGTTATATCTTCACCAAATTTTCGTTCAATACGTACACGACGATTCAATTTAACTGGTTTTGGTTGAACAGATTCATTATTATTTCGTACATAAGAGGACATTATTGTTCGAATAGCTGATGTATGACTAAGTTGAATTGATGTTGATGATGACGTACTAGCTAAATCACCATTATTTTGATTAGAAGAAGAATCCAAATGTTCATCTGAATCTAGAATATATTGACGAATAGAATAATCGAAATGATATTGATAAAATCTGACCATAATGAATGTTTATTGGTTTTTGTTTTGTTGATGAATCAGCATCCATGCCCATATCCGAATCACTAAAGTATAAAATAATTGATATGAATGGAAAAAATATGAGAGTTGATTAGTTTCATACCTTTCATCACTACTTTCGTCATCAAAAGTTACCTGACGACGATATGAAGATGGTGGTAAACTATACAAGAAAAAGATATTCAAGAGTTTTGAATATTATTACAATAGAAGAGCAACTTTAACAATGAACAGTTTTACTTAAAAGAGCTACTCAGGAACAAAACTGAAAAATCTAATGCGAAAATAGAACAACTGCATCTTGTATAAAAGTATCAAGTATAAGGAGGGAGACTGCTATCAGTGAATAAAGTAGAAAGACATACATGGAAAGATGCATCTAACAAAAAGACAATGAAAGGTAGAATATTATTGTCAGGATAAACTATACTGAATGAAAGCGCTTTGTGCGGTAAATATTCTAAAACTATTATATTTGCAAGTAATCTCAAATATTGTACAAATAAAATGGTTCCTAACTTAGCCTAGTTAATTGTGATTTGCATAGTCGATTATTTGAAAATTTAAATTATATAAACATACTCAATATCCATTTGATTTGTACTTGATGAATTATTAGAATTATTTGTATGAACATTTGGTGTACGTATTTCATTTACCAAGCTTGATAAAATACTACTTGCTAATGAACTAAAATTCGTTAATTAGAAAAAATAAACAATTCTACCATTACTTACTCATTCATGGTAAGAATATTAGATGATGAAGCTCGGCGAACAACTTTGTCCTTCATTGCATCACCATCCCATGGCAATATACCAGCTCGTCGAAATCCACCACTTATAGCACTCGACGAGAAAGAACTTGTATAAAGATCATATAAAAGTTTAGGAAAATCTATTTTCCTAATAGATCTTCGTTTTGTTGTTCGAATATATGTAGATACTAATGTTGACCATTTTTTTTTACAACACTAAAATCGTAAAGATTAGAGGAATTTCTCCTTACGCGTACAATTAGTTAAATAGTTAAATATTCAACTTTCCTCTAATTTAATCTATTTCTTTTAATCAGATTATACGGTTTTTATCCTTCTTTCATGATTTTATAGAATCTATTGTTTTAATTTTTAAAACTAGACGATTCTGTTTCTCACTGAAAAAATTTAAAATTCTCTGATACGTGTTGTTTTCAATATAGTTATTCCTTATGTTCGAGGCGAACTATTTAGATGGAACCAAAACACAGATGAATACCTCATAAATGTGCTTACCGATTACTAGAAAGTTAATCGGTATGTTGAGTAAACAGCAAACTGTTTTCTGGAAAATTCGTACAAGCAATCTTTCGTATCTCACTGATATACTTTTCTATATATATCAAAAAATGACTATTTTTATTGCATCATTCTCAGTACCTCATTGGGTCTGATCCATACATTCATCAGTGAATTGGTTAGAATTAGAAGACGAAATAGCGACTAATCGTTTTTGAATTAATTCTTTCATTTAACTCATTTTCTTATTAAGTACTCGATTTGCTTTTCTTTAAAACTTTGTGGGATCGAATTCTCTTCGTGGAACATATAGAAGATGCTTCGATGTCTCTAATCTTTTATCACATAAGAAACCTCCACTGCTCTATTTTACCGAAACTTGCTAAAACACTGAGTTCGTACTTTTGGACAATCTTTTTTTCATTTATTATCCAACTATGACCTTCTTTGACATTTTATTTTACTTAAATATAAAGTAATTTGTGTACTAAAAGAGATGAAAAATGCAACAAAACTAACAAAGTGTCGCACATTTGCCTCGATATGAAGTGGTAAAGAAAACTTTGGCTATATAACAACGAGAGAATTATTGAAATTATTTAAAAACCAATTCAGATAAGGTAACGATGAATTTGAGTAGCGAATGTATTTAATAAAAGAAAGGATTGAAAACTCTTTAACCCGCTTCAATTAGTCCATTCAAACAAATTATACAGCTCAATGCTTTCTAAAGAACAAGTAGAATTTATTCATAATTTAAACTAGTTTGTTTTAATGATGTATAGTTATTAGGAAAAAATGGCTTGCCGTCACTATTCGGGATAAAAATTGACTGGCCATCGCTATTAGGGAAAAAAAATAATTGCCGTCGTTATTCGGGAAGAAAATTGGCTTGCCGTCGGAATTATGGAAATTGTACCAAATAACGACGGATGGAGTTCTCGATCATAGGCCGCTGATATCCCCACTACAGCACGATGTAGAGAGGCTGTGATCATACCATTTGAAAGAGGAGACTTTAAAGATTATCCAAATATAAAAATATTTTAAGTCGAATGTAAAATGACTGAAAACGGAATCAAAGAAAAGATGTGAAAATTTTCCCGTCGTTATTAGGGAAACTGTCTCTATTGTTAATTTTTCAAACGCTGTTTTGGTATACCCTTGGTTCCTTTTTCAGGACTATTCGAAGCAAGGGTGTTGGGTATCACTAAGTGTTCAGGATACGTCTAGCGTTAGTTGTCATAGGTCTTCATAAGCTTTTAGGCGTATACCGTCAAACTGTGCTAAGAACATCATTCATATGTCACTCAGGAACTACTGTTGAATGTGGAACAAAATATTGGCTTAGAGGATAATGTAAGAGATGTGTAAGTGAGGAGTTTTCTTTTAGGAAGTGCAACAAGGTGGCTGTTTTTCTTAGGTCGACGTAATTGCGTCCCGTAATCGAGTGGTTTTACTTTACAATTAGTGCTATATCGAGGAAATTGCGTTTGACAAATTTGGGTCAAATTTGAGTTCATCTTTCGTCAAAGATCCATTCAGGATTAGGTGTGTCATAGCTCCTACTCCATAGTTTGCGAGATTTTACTCAAAGAGCTGCTAGATAACTTCATTTCAAATGAACAAAAGTTGAATGACCAGTTCTACCTCAGCAAAGTAAACTGGGGTTGCGACACACCTGTTTATCGATGCCTCCATACGATCATCCTTGAGGATCTGTGGTAATCCTCTCCAGCTTCTGAGAGCTGAACTGATGAACAGCTCCATTATTTGCAATTGCTGCAGATTTCTCGAAGTCTCTGAATTCTCTCAAAATCTTTTGAAATGTTTTGAAACCTTAAAATTGTAAAAACTGCTTTTTTCCCTTGTATTGAGGGTATTGGTACCGATTCACTATCAATACCAATACCTCAATATCGTAACAGTAAATAAACCATCAATAATAGAAGAATACTAAATTTGTTCAAAATTCGAGTTATGAATATATTAACCCTTTCCATCCAGTATATCATTTACGAGATGACATGCAGAAAGCAAAGGAAATATTTTGCATTCTGTCGTCTTCTTAGATGACGTATATCAGACGACTTTTTCAAATTCAATTTGTTCATCACGCAGGGTTCTTTTAAAATAGCTAGTTTTTGTCTTTGCCTATGTCTAGAAATAATGACGCTAGATTTCAAACGCAGCTGATTGTGACAGTAGAATGCTCAAGAGAAAGATTGAATTATTTTTCTTCGTGTTCGTACAGAAAGCAAGAAAATCTCGGGATTGAAAGGGTTAAGAGTACAAGAATTATATAATTGTAATGTGTATTAACTCAAAGAAAACTACCAATGATTTAATAAATCATAGATCAGTTAAATATATACCCAGTGCAATTGGGTACTCAGTTTCCAGTTCTAAACTTGCACTGATGCATACCTAATTTAAATCAACATGCTCGTGGAAGCAAATAAAGAATATTAATTAATTAACTCATATTCATTCACGAGTGAAGAATTGAGATAGAGAGACAAATTTGTACAATTTCACTTTTGTTTCATGATCGATCAACACATTTGATTGTATTTTCAAATAAATAAATAAATAGATAAGTATCTAAAATAAAGAAATTTTCCATAAACACAAAAATTATCATTTGTTAAAGATTTGTGAATTCCATCTACTATTTGAGCATGACATGATTGTTCACAGAATTCAAGAATTCTACTCTTACTTTCTTGATGAAAAGTGAAAGTTTTCCAAATGATTGTTTATTGTTGAGAAAATGAATGAATAATCATCATTCTATTGTACGTCAATACTGTTCAATAAAAGAAAAAAAATAATAAATGAAAAAGATTGATTTGCAATGAAATCGATGATATGATGCTTTCTATTATTCTAGATTTTTCTCTTGCATTTTTAGTACCATTACGTGGCAGTTCCATTGACATTAATTTGAATGCTCGATGGCAACAGAATGGTCTTACTGTCGCTGGAGGAAATGGACAAGGCAATGGAATCAATCAACTCTCTTACCCATTAGGTTTGTATGTTGATGATGATCAAACTATCTATGTGGCTGATCAAGGGAATAACCGTATTGTTGAATGGAAATTGGGTGCCATGAGTGGTCAAGTTGTTGCCGGTGGAAATGGATTTGGAAATGGGGCTCATCAGTTGTCTTTCCCACAAGATGTGATTGTCGACAAAGAGAGAAATAGTCTCATCATCTGCGATTTTTTGAATAGAAGAGTAGTTCGATGGCCTCGTCGAAATGGGACAAATGGAGAGACAATCATCTCCAACATCGATTGTCAAGGTTTGACAATGGACGAGAATGGATCTCTCTATGTCACTGACTATCAAAAAGGGGAAGTGAGACGATATCGAAGAGGAGAATCTCAAGGAATAGTGGTTGCAGGTGGAAATGGAAATGGAACTCGTTCTGATCAACTCTCTAACCCAACATATGTATTCGTCGATCGAGATCATTCAGTGTATGTGTCTGAATGGGGAAATCATCGTGTGATAAAATGGATGGAAGGTGCAAAACAAGGCATTGTCGTGGCTGGTGGTCAAGGAAAAGGAAATGGTCTTACACAATTGTCATATCCTTATGGAGTCTTTGTCGATCAATTGGGCACTGTCTATGTGGCTGATGCAGAGAATGATCGAATCATGCGTTGGATCAAAGGAGCCACACAGGGAAATGTCATTGTTGGTGGAAACGGTCGAGGAGAACAATCAAACCAACTTCATTCGCCCTTCGGTTTGTCATTCGATCGACACGATAATCTCTACGTCGTCGATTACGGAAATTATCGAGTACAAAAATTTAATCTCGAGTCAAATAAATAAGAGACTTATACCTTCTTCGAACGTTTTCATATACTTATCCATTCTAGAAACCTACTATACTTCTTTGGAATTCTTAGAAATTCAAATAAATATCATTCAATACTTATAATTATATGCGTCTCACATTAAGGAAACCTTGCAAAACAAAAACAAAAAATTACGAAATGGGACGAAGACCCGGCTGAATTCCGCGAAAAAGGCAAGCTTGGAATTTTTGGAATGTGAAGAATTCTCAGTAGTTTTTTAAGAATTCCAAAGGACTTCTATTGGATTCCTACTATATTCACAGTGGATCCCTAAAAATTCCCAAACATTCCCAAAGGATTCTCAATAGATTACCAAGAATTCCGAAAGATTCCGAAGGATTCTAATGATATGGAAAATTCCAACTTAGACAAGTCTGAATATGAGACTTGGAATTTTCAAGGTGAATATTTTCATTTTGACACGTGTTTCAGCCTAAATAGCCTTTTTCAAAATATCTTAAAAATTACACATTAAGCACAAATTTAGATTAAATAAGAATAGATACAAGAGGGTGAGTAAGAATGTTGAAAGAGAAAAAAGAATGAGTCACACTTTGAAAAGCGTCTATATCTCTTATTATTGATGTTTCCTTAACATATATATTTTTTTTTCATCTTTAACATTTGATCCTACGACAAAATCACATCTAAATTCATTTTATTTCGTATAACATTCACTTCAGTTTTGGATTCTTGACCATCGATAACCTATAGCAAACTTTCATCAAAAGCATGAAAAACCTTAACATGTGTTCATTCAACCCTAATGTTCTTTTGACCTGCGACAAGCAAACAAACTAACTATTTTTTTTTCGTGTGACCTTCCTTCATCGAGGGGACAAGAACGCTGGTCCGTAATTTGATGTAAGCAATTTGTGAAACATTTATTAAAGCTCATTGTCATGCAGCAGGTTTAATTTATTTTTTGGATTAAAAAAAAATAAATTTCGTTAATAAAATCTTAGTATATAGGTATACATAAATATTGAAGAGCAAATTCTTTAATTTTTTCTCTTGCTTGATAACGATGATTTGTAACACCATGATTATCTCCATAATATAAAACAAGCTCTTTTGGTTGACCAGCTAATTGATAAAGTTCTCGAGAACATGTTGGTGATAAACAGTCATCACCTGTACAATGAATAAATAAACATGCTTTGCCTAAACATCAAAAAATAAATAAATCAAACATATAGCTTTATTTTATCTATTCACCTTTTCGACTTAATTGACCAACACTACCTGCACCAGTAGTTTGTGATCCAACAGTTGCTATGTATAAAAAGAAAAGTAAATTAAATTGAAAGAAAAAACGAATGTTACCAACAGCTTTGACAAGACCATGTCTGGTACCGGCTCTAATAACAACAGCACCACCAAATCACCAACCAACAAGTACTACTCGTCGAACATTATAATTTAACTTAAGTATATCAATTGTTTCTAACAAATCTTGAACCTAAATAAAAAGATAATCTATTATTCTTATTTTACTAAATTTCAATTATTAAACTTACACATGGATCGAGATTACCACGAAATCGATGATCCATTTGTACTGATATCAAATTTGGATAAGCTATTATCTCTTTAGCCAATTCAGGATAAATATCCTAACAATAGAATTAAAATTACTAAAATACAAAAAAAAAAGTTAACTTACGTCAGGTCCTGTATAACCTTAATGAGACAAAAATAATAATTATCTTTCATAAATTTATCTTAATGAAGTTTACCTCCATCAATTCCAGGTACCATAATAACAGTCCCCCCGGGCAGACAAGAAAACGGCAAAAACGGCGTTTAAACGTCTCAACATCTGAACTATTTAAACAGTGTCATTAGTCGCCAAAAACGCGTTAAAACAGTTTATGAAAAATTAAATTTTAACACGTTTTACATGTTTAAACGCTTGGAGTCATTGAAATTGTAACTGTTTTAACGCGTTTTTGGCGACTAATGACACTGTTTAAACAGTTGAAATAATTTCCCTTGTCACGCCTCTTAATGATCAACAAACGTTTCATCTAAACGATGAAGTATCAATAATTTATAACTAAATTTTCTTCTCATTGATAAACTGATCGATTATATTCAAATTATCATTAGATTAATGTTAAATTGACATATGTTTATAGTTTATACTTTGAAAACAGTGCAGAGAATTTATCTCTCATCAGTTCGTTTCTTTCTATGTTAAGAGTAAGTGTATATTTTACTATTTACTTATTGATATTTTTTTCTTTTTGTTTTTTTTCAATAGTGGAAAGAAAGATAAAAAATGTAGGTTTAATCGAACAGTATTAACACCTTGTCATACCATTCCAGTATTAGAAAAAAAAAACAAAAAGAAAAAAATACCAACAAGTAAATGGCAAAATGTAAACTTACTCTTAACATAAAACGAAACGAACTGACGAGAGATTTAATTCTCTGCACTGTTTTCAAAGTATAAACAATAAACATATGTCAATTTAACATTAATCTAATGATAATCTGAATATAATCGGTCAGTTTATCAACGAGAAGAAAACTGAATTATTTCCATTCATGTTTCAAATAAGTGACGGATAAGATAGACTGATGAATAGATTTAAAATAGTACGACTAACACAGGAATTGATAAAAAGGCAAAGCACGGACTATCTAACCAGCTTCTAGTATAAGGAAAACTACAATCGGAACTACTATGGTAGACAGATGTTCTTTTCAAGTATCATTAATAAATTTAACTTCATTTCGATCAAATTCTAAAATATCAAAGTACGGAGATATGATATAACTAGAAATGTCATCAACGCACTACGAAATCTCATAATTAGTGTGTATTAAGTCGGTCGCGAAATTGATTAAGGCACACCTATGCATCAGAATGCTATCTGCTTTTTCCTGTAGTGACGATATTTCTTTTAAAGCTCATTCATATTTCGATGACTTAAGATTCCCTTTTCATCGAGTAGAAAACTCAACTGTTTCAAACGTCTCATATGTCACACGTACTCGTGATGAACATTATATATGAAACATTTCAAGTGAGGAATATTTAATGGACCCTGCTATGTTTATCGTCTGCGAGCGACTCTGCTAGTTGTATTGTCATAAGTATCGTACATGTTATGTCTAAGTCAACACTAACCTAGTGAATATTGAAGTATTTTTCACAGAAACTCACTATTAATAGCCATGCAGTAAGTGTCCTATTCTTTCTCTCGTTCTGAGTGATTTCCGCAGAAAAGAACTTATCTAATTCGAACATATCCAGTCTTACACAAAAGAAGTATGTGCCATTACATATAGTGAATTTAACATTAATTTTAAGTATACGTTAGAAATAAAATGGCCTACTCAGTTAGGCAACTATGTGAACGAAACAGAACACAAATGAATTCCAAATGAAAAGAACAGACGAATAATCGGACGAGAGAGTGATAAAAGAATGACCTCTTTTTTCCTTTTTCTGTGAACTGGACGGACGGAAAGAAAAGACAGAATAAAAAAAATTTCTTGCAAATGTGGACTGATGATAACTCTGTTTCTATGTGACGATGATAACTACGTAGATGAAATATACAATAGTCAAGTTTTGAAACTTTTATTGAAACAGCTAATCTCTATGTCATTTTTTAATTATAACCTATATGAGAACAGGATAACTTGTTTATCTTGGTTAAACATGATTGTTGCCCATACGTACTTGCACTTTTAAAAGAGAAATAGAGAAGATTATGATTATCATATAATCTAAGAAGGAAGGAATCGTTTATGTTGTTAGTATGATATACTAACATGTAATAACATTAATGATGATTGCCCCCTTCCATTTAGTTTCTGAGCGTTAACAATATTTGTCTGCACTTATTATAATTCACAAAATACATCCGAGCTAGAATTAATCTTCTTAAATGTGCAGTAAAATAAACCAATATTGGTTAAGATGATGTTATAATATTCATTGAACAAATCACTATAACGTTAATTGTCTACACGCTGATTGTTAAAGATATTCAGCATGAGATGTGCTGCACGCCTATTTCTGTTAAGCAAATCAGTTTATGGCAGTTACTCTGCGGCAAATCAAAGATAAGCCTTGTTACATTCTCATCAGATATTAACACCGAACAATATTTGTCTTAACGGTTTTCAATTGACAGTGGAATATTGCTGAGTAGATACACTGACAATATATCAATATAGAATATGTAAACTCACTACACAGAGTATTTTCAGTAAGATCGTTATACTGCTATCAATTTTGACTTCGACTTAATGACAATAAAAAAATTTCTTGGTTTAAAATTTCTGTTCACTAATAATAAATATCGGACCTGATCTTTTGCTGTTTATTAGTAAAAGATACATGTTCTAACCATCAGTTGTCTGTTACTAATAAGCAACGAGTCGAAAAACTTACTACTTACTAGAAAGTAATCAGACTGATTACTCACTCTGTTGTGTTACGTGATTTAGATACATTCAACCAGGCATAACTGTCACAGAATAGTTAAATTAAAAATTTACTACTCATTAGTAGCAGATTAGTAGGGCAGACTATCACCTACTAGCAATTAGTTAGTGACGATGCACATGACTTATTGACAGCATAATAATAAAATTTTTGTAGTTTTGATTGTTTTTTTGGTAATCGAAGCAAAACGGAAAAATACTGTTAAAACGTTTTTTTTCGAAAAAAACACGAAATTGGGGCGTTTTTAATGGTTTTGTCAAATTTAGTTGAAAATAAACTGTAAAAACGATTTAAAAGTGAAAATTTCAGTAGTAAACGCGTTTAAACGAGTTAAAACGGTGTAAACGCTTTTTTAACGCGTTTAAACGCCTTTCTGGCCGTTTATTGTCTGCCTGGGCCACGTGGATAATTACATGGGTATCGATTTTTAGACACGTATACATGTACGTTTGCACGACGTTTGTTTGTATTCATTGCGAATGAAAAAAAAACAAAATAATGAAATGAAACGATTCTTTTCTGTTTTTTCTTATACTTATCAATCTGAATTATCATCAATTATTATTGATCACCGACACATTTTATTTATCATATTATACGATTCGTTGATTATAAACCTTTGAAAATTGTTTTTTTTTCTATCTTATAGATTGTACTCTAACTCATTTTTTTATCA